CCAACCACCACCCAAAACCCACACCCCCATCTACGCTCTATTGATCAGCTAGGCAGGCTTCCACAGAGCGCTCACTTCATTGATCATTGCCGCCTCACACTCACTCTCTTTGGGTTTTTAACTGACCCTCAGAGAGCTGGGGAAAATACTGCTAGCTACATCACACTGTCAACGCATATCGTGTTTTCCATGAACACTAATTAGTCCTAAAGAAAGGTTTATTGTCAAGATGGCTGAACGTGACACAAAATCAAATGTAAGTTAGGTGCTGCTGAAGCGAAACATATATTATTGGAAATTCCACAGTCTAGCTTTGCTGCTAAGTGCAATGTTTTTAATTCATTTATTTTTTATTTGATTTTTTTGCCCTCTTTTTTTCTTTTTACATTTTCAACCAAAAATAGCCAAAGATTAGTTGTAAGTCTTACCGCACATCAAAGTGAAAAACAGAGCATACAGGCGGGAGCCTGCTGAGACTTTGACATGAAGCTAGTGAATCAGTGACATCTGCATTATAAACCAGTAGCAGATTATGGTAATGTGATATCTAACTGATGGGTGACTAACATTCTCTATCTATGCTGAGCATCCCTGGCAGCTATTTTAAACGATGCAAACGTATACAAGGAAACAGTCCAGCAAGCGCTTTTACTGGAAATGTGAAAACACTGCAGTAAAAAGGCAATATTGCTAATTCTGTTACTTTTTGACTCGCTTTTGCCTGTCAACGTAAGATGGAAGAGGAGAGAAATGCAAATTAGCCTCACATTATGCAGACAGAGATGCCATCGTTATTATTACTACCCCGATGACTCCACATGCAGGAAATAAAATGAACCACTTTGCCCATAACATTCAGCGTTTTATGGCTTTCTTTATCTCTTCACATTTTCTCTGTCACCTTTGCCCTACTTCCAGCCACTTTGCTCTTTACTCTTTAGGCAGGTGCCAGCGAGTGTGTGTGTGTGTGTGTGTGTGTGTGTGTGTGTGTGTGTGTGAGTGAGTGAGAGAGAGAGCATGTGTTTGTGGATGCTGTGTAGACTTGCTTCTGGAGGAAGTGGCTGGTCATAAGAGCCAGCTGATGAGCATCACCCTCATCCGGAGCTCCATTCATCCCCGTGCACAAGGGCCCATTCACCCTTCTGCTTTTCACACTCACGGACCCCAAGAGCCCCGGGCACATTCCCACAGTCGCACGCTTACAGAGGTGAACTGTCAGTCACCCGAGACATCCTAAATAGAAAGGGCACCCAGATGTAGATTCACGCAAACCAAAATTCCTCCACGTTACCACACAAAATGGAAATCCAGGAATAGGCTGCGTTTCTCATCTGACTCATTATAAACAAGCCCCGGAGCCTTTCCTTTTTCTTCTCAAACATGTCTCTATAGCCTTCACATCCAAATACTTTTGAGAGCAAGTGACACACAGCAGGAAGAGGTGTCATTTTCATTTTTGTCATCTCCTTCCACTGCGAATCTTTCTGACACGCTTGTACCGTAGCCCATCATCATACCCATGCACTGCAATGATGTGCATGACATGGGAGGTGGGAGGGGGGTCAAATTTAAACATCAAAGACAGGAAAGGATGGGTAGATAGAAAAGAAAAGGAAAGTCTGTGTGCATCATCTGCAACTAAAAGAGAATAGATCTAATCAACCTCTGGGAAAAGTTGGATAATAGCAATGACCCTTGACTGAATTATTAGCACCAAATTACCAAAAACGTTAAGCTCTGGGTATGTGTGTTGCTTGGTAGGATGTCTGTGGATATTTAAGATATATATTTTTAAGAAAATATGTACAATCAAATGGTTTCTGGAAGCAATTCTGGCAAAAATAGTCAAAAAAAAGACTAAAAAGAAAGAAATTCTAAGAAAAAAGGCAGACGAGAGCCATCTGAGTTGTTCTTTGTGCTGATGTCTCGCCACTGGCTGCACGCTGTGACAAAGACGTTAATGTACCACACCACCACCACCAGCAGCAGCCTCCCTACTGCGATAGGATCCATGTTTTATCCACTGGAGAAATCTGCAAACATTCAACAGCAGCCTCCCTCCTATATTTTACATCACGCTCCCTTCTGAGCAGAGGACAGTCTCTTTAATGAGGGCATCTTGGGTGTGTTTACATTTCATTACACAGCGCTCCCTGGCTCTGTGGCCTAAATGGCTGAAGGGTGGGGGGAGTTCAGGGGGATGATGGTTGAAATATCTGCTGTGGACTTTGCAGGTTTTGCAGTATTTCTCACAGGAAACGCTGCAGATGGATGTCTCTGTATAGTTTGTGATTCATAAAGCTTGTGGTCTTGAGAGCAGGTCACAGCATGAAGCTTAATGATATATTTTGTTAGACTCTGACAGATGAGGGTAAATGTCCTTTCAGTGGTTGTGTTCAGCTTTCAGCAGCAGCCAGCACCTGATGTCTATAAATCTATATGAGTGCCGCTGCAAGTAATGCTTTATTTCCAATCCAATTTTAAGCTCATAACCGAATCTCATAAGAACGACTACAACCACATTACATTAAAACTCTGAGTCAGAATACCATTACACTTGCATTTCGTGTCTTTATAAATCAACATTAATTTCTCTTCATTTATATCATTGCTGCATACATTCCGGCAGGGAAGTCATAAAGACCGGTTTTTGAATCGCGGGGAGGGTTCAGAGTGAAAACGCAACGACTCAAAGTGGGAGTAGGAGTAAATGTCTGTGGATGAAGCAGTGTCACACACCTGCCAGACAGACAGACAGGGTTGTCAAAGGGTATCTCCTGGAAGTGTGCGACTTCACTACAGAGAGCGCGAGTGAGCCACGGGCAAATTCAGAGGAGTCGAGGATGAAATGAGAAAAACACAGCTGAAGAGCCTCAAGGGCGACAAAATCTTGTCAGAATACAAAGGAAGGATGAGAGCAGGGCTAACAAAGATGAAACAATTTAGACTGACATTTCTTTTGCACAGCTCAGACACGGAGCAATTGTTGGTGCTGGCATAATGACACACATTATCACCAACAGGAGAATAGCATTCACACTGCTCTGACTATTGGGTTTCACCAGCAGGACTTTTAAACTTCCTTGATGACCATAAATCCTGCATCCCATTGTCAGAGAATCTGGCACACTGTTTCTCACTTGAGTTAGCCGAGGATAGGTTTGCCTGTTCCAGATCCATATTAATACAAAGAAGGAGGCGGGTGAAGTCCCAAAAGTTAAAACGTTTATTTTGTGTGCTGGTGCTTGTGAAGCTTTCAGGGTGGGAGGGTTTAATAGTCTGTGTGTGATAATCGGATTGTGATCCGTGGCTAATTAGAAATGCATTTGGAGTATTTTCATTTATTTATTTTTTTTACCCTCCCCATTGTTTGGAGAGCCATGATCTGCGCTGACTCCTTGTTTTCTTTATAAAAGAAGCACAAGGCGCACTGGGATCATTGGCAGCCGTTTTAAAAATCATATACGAGGAGCCATAAAAACAAAAAACCTGTTGTTACATGACTGGAGGAAAGCTGTCGCTGTCGCATAGGTTGCTTTCAAATCCCCGCGGCTTCCCCAGAGCGCAAACCACGCTGCAATCATGTAGATGAAACAAGTCCTTCGCGGTCCCACGCAACAGTTAATAAGATAACCTACGAACACACGCTTTGCAGTAGGCCTGTATTAAAAGCAATTACAGCCTACACAGGCTTTTTCCCCCCTTCTTCTTCTCTTCTCTTACAAATGGAGTTGCAAGCGCTCTTTACAAAGTCAATAAACGGATTTAAAGATTTAGGTTCAATAGGTGGACTACGTGGACTAGTATGTAATCAGTTTCCACTGAGATACTTACAGGCATATGTCATGGAGAAGCTGTTCCCCATCATGACCATATCCACCTGCGGCACCAGTTTGGGGATGTCCTGGTGGTGAGAGAGGGCGAACCGAAAAACCTCATATTCGTGCGATCCGCTTGGGAACAATCCTCCTGTTGAGAAGCAAAGAATGAGGAGTTAATGTAGTACACAGTGGACACGAAAAGGAAAAAAAATTAAAAAAGAGACACCGACTTAAGTTGAATCAGAGGTTGATGTTTTTTTCTCTCAGACAAAAGGTGACGATGTGTGTGCGCCATTCTCACCTATATTGATGTTACTTGGAAAACTTGAGCTTGAACCCAAGCACATCCCCAGTAAACTGGTGTAGAGGATGGTGAAGCTTCGCTGCATATTTCCTTTTGCATTGGCGAAGGGAAAAAGAGCCGAAATCCAAGCATAGGTTTTGTCCGTGTGTGAAGTTAAATCCCCCCGCTTCTCCTCCACTCCTATCGCCTCCCCTTAGAGCAGCATTTGCACCGACATCGATTCAACAGCGAGACAATTATCGCAATGGCGAGAGGAGGCACCTTTCTCTCTCTTCTTTTCCCTCTCACTGCTGATGCTCTCTTGTCCTTGGTTGCTGCTGTATGAGACGGAGAATGACTTCAGCATTAGCCGCACTGCAAAAAATAAACCCGTTTTGGAAAAAAAACAACAACCTAAAAAACTGTTGAACCTAAAGGCAATTTTAATGTATTGCCTTTTACCCTAAACAAGGATTTCCCCCTTCCACGATATAGCGAGAAAACTTCAGTTATTTGATATATAGAGCAAATTTTGGCTTTTCAAAGAAATATTTCGAGAGCAAGTGTCACTGCAACAAGTCTGCGCAGCGCGCAATAGTAAAGGAAATGACACAAGGACAGAAGCGAGCATTACTTAAAAAAGGCTGCTTTGGACATGAAACAAGTAGCAATGTGTCACTCGATAGGAGGATGTTACAGCTGGAAAAGAAAATGGAAATTTTCACACTCATTATTTGACTAATGACCTGCGGGTAAATATTTTTTGCAGTGTGCGCCTTTGGAGCGCACACACAGGTGCCCCAAGAGGCGCACGGGGTTTAGATATTCGTTCGTTTCGTTGTGGAGCAAATATATCAACACTGACAAGACAGTGTTTTTGTAATGTCACTTTTATTTTGTAATAATTTTTGTGCTTGTAGATTTGCATTAAAAAGTAAATGTATAACCAATATAACATCTAAAAACAAGCGTATTTCAAAGATTTAAGAAATGAAGTTTAAATTGGATGAATGCGAATAAGAATTAAGTTTATTTGATATCTGTCTGCTTTTTAAAGAATACAGTCTAACAAGGAAAGGAAGCCTAAAATAACATGACTGGTTATTCCTTAAGTCCCTAAATTTAAAAGATATTTCAGCATGTAACATCGTAAAACAGTGTTAAGTCCTTGCACTGATCAAGCTCATGTGGCATGGTAAAGAAGTCTCGCTGCTAATGAATACTTTGGTGAGGCTGTTTTCTTATCTTCTTCGCCATATAGTTGAAGCTTGAACCCTATAGTAACTCTATAAGATACTCTGTAAATGATATTCCGTAAAACCACAAAGGACATTTTCAGCATTGTTTGCACTTCATTTTATTTTTGACAGCCTCACTTTGTTAAAGAAGTCGTGTTAAATCACTTCATGCCTGCTCTACAGTATGTACAGTTATGAATACAAGATGACACTGTATTAGTGTATAATATGTGTTTTGATGGGGTACTAAGACAATGCAGCTAACAAGTGTTTTTTCAGCTGGAGCAATGTTGTCTGTAGGCTATAGTTAGAATTACAGAAGCATATTACAGTCTCTGACGTTTGCTGTCATTGATTACCATGTTACTGTAAACCATTATAATAAATGACATTTGGAGGAGGAACAATTAGAGGTTTGAAAGTGAGGTGAGTCAACTTTGCTTGGTTGGTAATTTAGGATTAATTAACTTTTCACATATACAATACACACTCTTTTTTTTTTTTTTTTAGCATCACTTACTTCCCTATCCAGGACCATACAATAGACAATGACAACTCGCAAAAGAACCAGCTGAGAGATAAGTGAATCATTAGGTAACCTAATGGTTAGTTCATAATTATCCATAAATTATTCATACTGCAACTTTCTTTGTGAGTCATTCCTAGTTAAGGTGATCCAAACACAGAGCAGCACAAAGCAGTAATTACACATTCATTATTGATTATTTCAACATTAGTTCTTTTTTGTGTGTTTGTGTGTGTAATAAAACCCAGTTTAGTTCACGTATGAATAGTTAATATTATAATATGTTACATTATATTTTAACCAAAATATAATACTTTTAAACAATAAAATCCAAATTCAAACAATATTATGATAGAACGATCAAACATCAAATCCTTTAGCTTAAGATATGCGCATTTCATCACAAGCCACCTGCATCCCAAATGTTAAACAATGAATGCAAACATTTATGGGTAGTTCTTTCTATTACGGCCAGGTGATACTGTGATAATAGTGGGGTAATAAGCTGGAGACAAGGGGGGAATGATAATATAATTATATGAAAAGTTATATGGCTAGTTATTATTACTTAATTACCAAGATAATGTACAAGTAATCATTTGTGTTAACATTAGTTATAGTTGAGTAATATTACACTAAAAGTCATGTAACTGGGTAAAATCAGACTACAGACTAGGGGTACAAATGTGTAAACAAACACATACCTATGAGGCAAAACAATTAGTAACAGCAGAGTAATATTTTGGTAACAATGTGATGACCTGCTAGATGGTATTAGAATTTTTATACACTGACTGGCTGATGTTTTAGTATATTAGGATATTATTACTGTATTGCAATGTTAATGTTTTTATGTATATTATGGATATTTTATTGATGATTATCCAGTCTCCAGTCTCCAATCTATCTTCTTAACCACTAGATTCTTTGCTAGCTGTCATAGCATAGCTGTCAATGCTTCTCACATTTACGATAATGGAAATGTTTGTGACAATTATGAAGAATAATTGTCTCACTTTACTTCAGGACATAAAGAACAAAACTAAAAGGTAAAGTAATCCAGAAGAAATGAAGAATTACATATTGGGCACTTTGTATGATACTTTCTTTACTACACTTTACTACAAAAAAGTGAAACTAATGTTCAAGTATTCGATGATGGATGAGTAGTTAGTAGGATGTGCTGCTTATTATTAATAATAAATAAATGATAAAGAATGTGGGAGTGTGAAATATTCACTAGTGCACTTACACACACATAGTGCAGGACTGGTACAACAGTGGTTATGACTTTAACCATGCATTGTTAAAGTCAGAGGTATGTCAGGTATTGTTTTGTACACACTGAAATATTAACCAACACTGGGGATGTTCTCATGAGATGGATTGTAAATCACATTATGCTGTGATGCCCAGGCAGTTGTTTAGAAAATGAAGTGTTTTTTCTTGGCTTTGACACCATGCAAATTAGGTATCCATTTATCACACTAAGTACAGCTACTTTCTTAAGTTAAACTCAATTTTGCTACTTATTGTTTCCATAACACGAAAGCAGGCATATCGCTCCCAGAAAATTATATTTAGAAGATTAGAAGCTTGCTTGAATTAGATTTCCAGTGTTTCCATATCAGGAGAAACATTTTCTATTTAAAAGACTGTGGCTGACTACCTCTGGCTGTGCTTGAAACACTTGAGAAATAGAATTACAGGAAGTGAAAGGTTATCTAATTTCTGAGTGATGGATTTTATATAGATACAGGCAGAATGGCTGATTTTCCTTGTCTTTGATCAAAATGATGAGGGGTTACCTCAAACATGGATGGTTGTGCAGGCATTCATTCCACTACTTTTTTTTTTTCTTTTTTTTTAACTCTGGGTATGACCAAGAAGATGCCTGATTTATGCACAATATCCATCTTGCATCACAGTGTTCATGTCAGTGTTTCTGTTCTCTTTGTGTGAATGTGTTTGCCTGCGGTGCCCCGAGTGTGATCAGTGCCAGGCAGTCTTTTTTGAAGTAATGCAAAGAGATCTTAGAAAAGCATTATAAGCAATGGCTAAATATTCTATGGTGCTAAGTAGAGGAGTAACTATCACAGATGGAATCGCTTGTTGTTCGAGGTTAAAAATATTACCATCCGACAGAGTCTGTGTAACAGAACAAAGGACATACACTGTCTTTTTGTTCCTAAGGACGTCTTCACCATAGATCATAATGTGAGCGTCTGTCTGGAGGGTTTTAATCGAAATCTATGTGAAGAGTATAATGGGCCTAATCTGTCAAAATCTGATGGTTCCACTCCAGTTTGAGTGTGGAGGGAGAGAGAGAAAAAAGGAAAAATTCCCTGCATGTTATTCCTATAATTGAGCTACCACTCTTGTGCTGTTGAGAACTTGTGTGCGTCACACGGCTGCTGGCAAAACTATAAAACGTAATGTTGCAGAAAAGATAAGGGAACAAATAGTAGTTGTTAGCAATCAAAATGCCAACCTCCTGCTTCTCTCCTGGTACCGCAGAACCTAATGATAGCGAGGGCAAAAACACCGGTAAGGTATGAGAAAGTAAATGGCCAGACTATTATATTCCTATAACAATTTTATCACTGGCTGTATAAATGCCAGTGATTAAATGCCTACTCCACTCAAATCAATATTTGTGTTTTTCCAAGTCTTGTTAAAGTGCTTGAAAAAACTTTTTTTTTTATTTTGGGTGACTTTTTTTGGCCAAAGCTTTTTCACATTTTCACGATGATTAAAGTTTTCACCGCTCTCCAAAGGCAGTTCTCATCAGCAAACCCAAGGTAGAGCATTGCATGATACCTACCTTCAGATTAGTGTTAGCAGTTATTAGCACATTGGTTAGTCTGCTCAGCCTAGATTCCTGAGATCCTCTAACTTTGTTTTTTTGTTTTTTAAATATTAAATAAAGAGTAGAACGAAGACATTTGGAGAGACTGACTCTGTATTATTGGCATCTCTAACAGCTATCCAAATGAGATTATTACACTAATCTCAAAACCTATTATGCTATTATGTGCAAAAATCTTGAGTTACCTCTCATTTCTTTATATTGTATTAGGAAAATGGAGAAATGACTGCAGTGATTTACTGAAATATGCAACCATAAATGGTAATGCAGTACAAAAAGGTCTTTACAATTCTAACAAGCTTAAAAGTCAATATTTGGTGTGACCACCGTTATTCTTCAACACAGCCTGAACCTTCTAATGCAAGCTTGTCATTTGTTTAAGTAGACTTCAGGAATAGTTCTCCAGGCTTCTTGAAGGTAATTCAAAGCTCTTCTTTGGATGTCGGCTGCCCTTTGCTTTGGATTTTGTCAAGATGATCTCACACTGTGTCATGGTCCTGGGTCATTTTGACCCAGTGTTCTTAGTTTTCCTGTGGTTTTGTATTTTGTTCCTTATGTTCATTGGATTGTTTGGTTTGGTATTTGGATCCCCCCTGTGTCCATGCTGTTATTGTGGTGTTTGTTCTGGTACCGTGTTCCCATCCTTTGTGTTCTGTGTTCTGTGTTCTCCTCATCCCCTCGTGTATTCATCCTTGTTCT